TCATCCGGTAGGCAAGCGGAGACCAACGCCCAAACACAGCAGATGAACAAGCTGCTCCAAAAAGTGTTGCGCATGTGCATTAGGCCTGACCAGATCAATTGGGACGAGCATCTTCCCAAAGTGCAGTCTGGGACTCTGGGTATAACAATTCTTCGGTGCACCTGTCTACTGCATGGACCCCGAACGAACTGCACAAGGGTTAGAAGCCCCGACGTCCAATTGACTACATGAGTCCGGACCAGATTCAAAGATTGCCGCCTTGTACGAGGGAATTAAAGTTTGTTGTTTAGTACGAGAAAAAACTAGAGGTGGTGACGAAGAACATCCTCGAAGTCCAGCATCAGATGGTGGAACAGGCCAACAATCACCGACGCCCCGTGCATAATCTGTTACCTGCGTATAGGGGAAAATGGCGAGTATTAGATGACAAGGGAGAGGCAGATGGACCTTCCTACACCATCGAGATTCCACCCCACCTGCACACATTCTTGGTGTTCCACGAGTCTACATTGCTTCCCTGCATCCCAAACGATGAGTTTCCCTCTCGACATTCCATGATTCCACCAGACACGGATGGAGGTTATGATATAGATAGAATAGTGGCTGAAGATGTCTCCCATACAGGCCGCAGAGGGAGACCACAGAGACAGTACAAGGAATGAATGTGTACGACGGTAAAAATAGGACTTTTCTCGGAGGACCTCGAAATTAGGCCGGCTGGAGTGAAAGCATTCACGCTGCTGACATCTTAGTCCAGGTCCCAGGGTCCCGAGATGTCCCAGTCCCACGCTGTCCCTTTAGGATAATCCATAGGGAATATAGGCTGAAGTGCCATAGGTCCGTAGGGGTCGGAACCGAAACGCCGTAGTTCTGTAGATGTCTGTCCGGTACCCGACAAGAAAAGTCCAATCCAGTCCAGCAGTCCCAAGTCCAATTTTTCAGCATGTCCCCGGGGAAGTCCGGAAGCTACCAGACAGACAAGATGTTTGCAGCAGACAGGCCGCCGTAGTACGGTATATTTGGCTGCTACAGTCCAGCGGCTCATCACTTGTTTCATTGCAAGATGCAGAAGCGCTGCTGCTGATTGTGAGTTAAGGCAACTTGGGCACTTTGTGAGGAAAGAGGGTGCATGACTCGGCACGAGAGCTACTCCATAGCTGGGGTAGAGGGAGATAGGGAGTAGGGCAGCCATAGCGGCCAAATGTGAAGCTTACCTGAGTGGCCGTGTCCAGGGTTATGATCTAGGGTAGAGACCGAGCGTGAGGCAGAGCGAGCCAAGTAAGAGACAAGAGCTAAACTGCAGAGAGAGAGAGAGAGAGAGAGAGAGAGAGAGAGAGAGAGAGAGAGAGAGAGAGAGAGAGAGAGAGAGAGAGAGAGAGAGA